CTCCCAGCACAGTGGCTTCTCCCCCAGCCCTGGCCTGGCCTCTCCTTTCCTCTGCCCTGCCTCCTGGGCACTGAGTCAGTCTCGCCCTGTTTCTCTTCCACTTCTCTGAAGCATCTCACTTGGTTTAATGGTTCAGGACTTGCAGCACCTGAGTGCACAGATGCAGTGAGCTTCTCCTTGGCCATGAGTAACAACAGGACAGGAGCCCCCATTCCTTACGGGCCTGCCCTGTACTAGGACAGGCTATGAACTCTAAACCTCACAGGTGTCCACTCACTCGCTCCTACAGATGTGGAAGTGCAGGTTCAGAGGGGCTGAGCAGCTCTGTGGAAGGGGGCAGGGAGGGCGAGGCTATGGGGAGATAGACCCAGGGTGCTGCCCTGATCCTGCAGTCCCCTTCATCCCGGCCTCAGCAGCACCCCCTGCACCCCCTGTGTGCCTTCACTGGTGTGCTCCTCCCCAGGCCCCTGTGCTGTCAGCCCAGGCGTGCAGTGGGGGCTGCCTGTGGCCCAGCACGGAGGATGCCGGACTCCCTGACAGGGCTCTGGGGCAGAGCCTCTGAGCAGGGTCTGTGGCCCAGGGCTCTTCAGGGGCCCTCAGGGTCCAGCCCTGGGCTCCTTGGCCCACTGGGCCCTCTCAGAGTGGGACAATCTGAGTGTAAAGGTGGATTTGGAGGTGTGGGGTGGGATGCCAAGTGATAGGCACCACAGGAAGCTGCCCAGGTGTACCAAGGACTTAACACGTGTGCTTTCTTCAGAAGGGGACCCCACCTGCCCTACTGGATGCCGTATCACCAACTGCGCAACAACATGACCTTCCACATGCTGTGCCGGGTGACACACAGGATATTGACCCAGATATAGGGTCTCCCGGTCCAGTTTTGTTCAATTTCAATCCTCTCTTCTGCACTTTGCTTCTCCTGATGCTGTCCTTTATCCTGCTGATGTACTGCACCTGCCAATGCTGCTTTCAATGTGAGTGACCCCTGACTACACAGCCCTGTGGCCCAGGCCCTCCCCAGCCCCCCAAAGTATCGGGACTCCTGGCTGCCCCAGGATTCCGCCTGTGGGAAGGTCCCATCAGTTCCGAGGTCATCACCTGAGCACATGGAGGCTCAGAGCTGCCCTCCCATTCCTGGGCACACAGCCTGGCCTCTAAGGAGCTTTGTGCCTCAGGCTTCCCTCCCCCTGAGGAGAAGTGACCCCAGGCCCTGACTCAGGCTTCTGAAGGACTCAAAGGGACAAAGGCCAGGGAGAGACCTCTACTGTGGATTGGAGAAAACACAGATCCTGCCTGGGCAGTGATGGCCCCACAGGGAGGGCCAGGTGCCCCAGGATTCCTCTCCTCTGGGGCAGCTGTGCCTTTACAAACAGACATGGCCTCTGCCCATCTCTGGAGCCCTGTCCTTCCCTCCCAGTCACTACTCAGGACCATGTTGTGCTGGGCCCCGTGCTGGGCAGGGGACAGAAATGAAGTGGCCCCAGTCCTGCCATGGCAGCTCCAGGTCTGGTGTCTCGACTGGCCTTGGTCCCTGGGGTACTGGGGGAAAAATGTCACCTTCATGGCATGTGGCCAGTGTCCTGCCTAATGAGAGCAACAGCAAAGGGCAGAGGCGGGCCCCGGGGAGGACGGGCGCAGAGGCCTGGCTAGCTGGGCTCCCCAGGACAGGTGTGGGGGCTCTGGGGGAGGGACCCCCAGAGGTGTGAGAGGGCAGCACCAGCAAGACACCTGCAGGTCTGAGATCTGCAAAGTGGGAGCATGAGGACAGGAAGCCAGGGTGCTGGGTGGGTTTCCCTGAGTTCTGGGCACAGGGGCGGTTCAGGGTGTGCAAAGGAAGGGGAGGGAGGAGCAGGAGGGGAAGGGGAGGAGCTCTTGTCTTCATACGACCTAAAGGCTGCTGATGAAAACCACCTGGTTAGACACCTGTACCAGCACCAGGCATCCCAGGCTGAATGTCCCCCCGGGGACGCACAGGGAAGTGTGGGCTCAGCTCAGGCAGGTGGAGCCAGCTGGCCACAGACCCGCACGCAGCGAGCACCCAGATGGACACCCAAAGCCCTGTTCTGTCCCTGTGCTGCAGAGCAGGTCCCCTCCTGGGGGCATGGCTGAGCCAGAGCCCTTCTCACCCTGTGTTTATAACTCCATCTTTCTATTTCCCAGAAGCCACCACCAAAACCAGACACGGTAGGTCATGTTTGGTTGTGGTGTTGCCAGAGCCTGAGGGCACACTGGCCTTCACAATGAGGTCCCCCTCAGCCTAGGGAGATCCCCCCGAACCCTGTAGCTCTCATGCCCTGAGCAGAGAGAGAGGGGCCCCCTTTAAGATGTGGGACTCACAGTGACACACAGAGGACACCCTTCTCGTGCTCCCATCAGAGCCTGACCAAAGGCCTCTGTCACTGAATTAGCAACTCGGGCCTGTTTCAACAACTGCTATGATTCCCACTGAAACAAAGAGGCATTTGTTCAATCCCCAAGGGCCTGTGTGTAGGAGGCTCTTCCATAGGACTCGCTGAGTTATGGTTAAGAGGCTTGGGTTTCACGACCTGGTCCCCTCCTCTGGGCTCTCATGTATGTGGCGCTGCATTTCACAGGCCTTCATCCCTGAATCCTGACTGAGAGAGGGGCTCTGGTAGGGTTGGCCTTTCAGGGCAGCAGGGCTAGGGAGAGTGGAGGGCATCTTATGTGCATTAGGCTGTGAGGGAGGCACAGCCCAGGTGTGCACAGAGCCCAAGTATCAGGTGAGCAGGCATGGCTCACCTCAGGTGGGTGTCCCGGGGCAGGAAATGAGGGCCTGGGGTTAGTGGAAGGTGGGCCTCCCTGTCCGGGTCAGAACCCTGTATGGACGCAGGTGGCCTGGGGAGACCAATCTACCAGGGTCACGTGAGCACAGCCCTGTCCTTGCAAACCCTGGCCACCCTCTAAGTCACAGACTCCCAGGACCAGGTCTGTCTAAGGGAGCTGCCTCAGGGAGTGAAGGGGATGTGACAGAATTTCTTGCCCTTTTGGGGAACAGCCTTATTTGCAAACTAAGAGCTTGCTGGCTTTTCCCTAGGACGGCTCTCTCCTAAGGGACAGGGTGCGACTCCTTGGTCCTTGAGTTCTGCCAGCAAACATTGCGGAGTGGCCAGGAAGTGACAGGTGCAGGGCAGCAGCTACAGCGTCCCTGCCCCAGGAGCTGCCTGCAAGGAAGCAGACACTGTTTTCCCTTTCTAGATTCCGGGGTCACTGGGAAAGAAGTGCCTTACGGTGATTATGTCGTGTTGTAAGAAAGGCGAAACGACAGCGCAGGTGAGAAGGGCCCTAGACAGGTGCTGATACCCCAGGCTGGGCTGAGGGAGGACAGGGGCAGCCGGCTCCTGCCCCACAGACACGGGCCCAGAAGGCCGGGCTTCTGTGGTGGTGAGGTTATGGGTGCTGGGCTTCGATCACCTGGCGCCACAGTACAAGACACCGTCCCGGCCTAGAGGCCTGGGAGAGAGAAAAGGCACGAGGGCTCATATTCCCCCCCAACCAGGCTGGTCCCAGCCTCCGGGGCTCCCCCTTGGCACGGGCGCAGGCTTCTGGGTGCGGGTGGCTGCCCGACAGGTGCCAGTCCGCGGTTCTGGCAGAGCTTGTCGTCCGCCCCAGCAAAGGTTGGGCTTCAGTGGCCCTCAGTTGGATCGGGGAGAACAAACTGAACGGCACGAGCCCGCACAGGGCAGGGACAGCCGGGGAAGGTCTGTGCCAAGTTCTTTCTGCCATTAACACTCCCCGGAAATGTGAGTGTCAGCTGCTGCTCTTGCAGAGGTCCCCTCCACAGAGTGAGGGAGAGAACTGCAGGGTCCCTGTGACCCACTGGGAAAGGGTGACAGGCACCTGGAGGAGGGGCCTGAAGGACCCCCATCCCCCAGGAAGAAGTTCTGGGAAGCCCCAGAAGCCTCTGCACATGGCTGATGAGACCAGCAGGGCCACTGCCTGGCATCAGAGGTTCAGGTCTCCTGTGGAAGGTGGGCTCTAGGTTCTGACCAGTGGAGTCACAACCCGGAGACACCATGCAGGGACAGGGGCAGGTACAACAGGGCCAGATAGAGAGTTCAAGCAAGGGGAGGCAAGCGACCAGAGGGTGGAGAAGAGCAAGCTGCTAGGATGGCCTTCGTGCCCAGCAAGGTGAGGGTGGGGACCCTGAGCAACTGTCTGAAATGGTCACCTTTCCAAGGGCCCAGCTCAGGCGAGGAGGGTAGCAGAGTGATGGGTTCTGGGCATGTACAGCTGCCCAGGGATTGGCCAGGCCCCTCAGGACCACCTCTGAAGTCGTCCCAGCAGTGCTGTGAGCCCCAGGTGACCACTTCTTTCCCAGAGGTCAGGGAAGTGGGCAAGGTCACCCCAACAGTACGTGGCAGCACACAGGATTTCTTACATGAACTGAGCTCGTGCTGAGGAGAGCTGTGCCCTGTGCACGGGCTCCCCCCATCTCCCCTGCCACAGCACTAGAGACCCCAGGACTGTAGTGTTCCAGCTGGACATCCAGACCCTCTCACAGGTGCTGGGGTTTTGGCTCCTGCTCTTTAAGCCTTCAGTGTTAGAGTCTAGGCCTCAAGGTAATGATGGGCTGAGAGGCTTCGGTGTCACTGGGCCCTGTAGTTTCTGCAGAGCAGGAAAGACCCCAGCCCCACCTGATCTCAGCGCCAGCCAGCCAGCCCAGTGTGCCTGGGGGCATGTTACCAAGGAGTGGCCTTGTGGCCTTGTACCTACTAACAGCGGCAGCCTTGTTCACTTCTGCTCTGGGAAACAGCCTGTGACTCTGCCCCACTGCCTTCAAATCCCAGAGGAGTTTCTCTCCTAATGCTCCCTTATAGAGCATCCCTCCTAGACACACACACACACACACACACCCTCCTAGACATACACACACACACACACACACACACACACACACACCCTCCTAGACACACACACACACATACACCCTCCTAGACACACACACACACACGCGCGCGCGCGTGCGCGATTCTCTTCCCCATTGCCTGAGCCCACGGCGGCCCACAGTTCATGGGAAACGACCCTCGTGGATCCATCATGAGAGTCAGGTTCAGGATGGAATCTTACCCTCTCACTGAATGGGCGCCCCAGGCAACAGAAGGGCTCCCAGCAAGGGTGACCCATGCCACCCCCTCTCGAGGTCCTTTTTAGACAAAATGGGTGTCATTGTATAAGTTGTTGCTTACACACATTTAGGGAATTTGATCAGAATGATTCTGAAGTTGACTTGAAAAAATAGACAGTTAAGAATATGCCCAAGAGAAACAGTTAATCTCTTTGGGACCTCCCCGTGGGCACAAGAAGGCTGACGTCAGTGCTGAGAAGGGAGATCCAGGTCCAGTGTTCTGGGGCTGTAGGGCCAGAGTGCCCCAGTTTGGCCTTAGGAATGTGGCATGACGGACAAGGTAGTGGGGGGGGTGAGTAGAGTCTGCAAATGTGCAGTGGGCTTGAGAGGTCGGGGTGTCACCGGGCCCCTTGTGGCCTTTCATGCACTAACATAGGCAGCCTTGTTTGTTCTGCTCTCGCAAAAAGGTCAGGGGCTAGGCCAGGGGAGTGGACAGCTCTCAAGCGGAAAAGCACCAGGGGCAGAGTGGGAACTTAGGGACACACAGGGCAGGGTCACAGGCTTTGCATGCATGCAGGCCAGGCTGGTGACCAGTGAGGGGCTTGGCGGTGAGGAGTCTAGCAAGGCAGCTGGGCCCTGGAGCTGGATTCCCAGGCAGAGGGGAAGCACAGCTGAAGGTGGCAGCTGGCAGGAGCTGCTTCTCGGGGAAGGTGATTTTGTGAGGCCTGCAATAGGGTGGATCAGAGCCAGGTGCCCAGGGGAGAGGAGACACTCGAGTAGGTCTGAGAAGGGAGGCCAAGGGCCTGGCCAGGAAGTAGATACACAGGAAGGTGAGAGTGGACTTCCTGCCAGAGACGGAGGAGCCTAGGACAGGATATGGGCAGAGTGTGCTCTGAGGCTTGATGCAGGAAAGACAGGTTCTCGGAAGCCTGATGTTAGCACGCTCCATGGTGCCCCTAGGTAGACCTGGCAGGGGGATCAGTGGGATTCAGGCCAGCAGGACAAGGGTGGGCTTGAGAAGACAAGGAACTTGGCCAACCCCATGAGTGAGGGAAACTACAGCCTTCAGCCCCCGCTGGAAGTTGCGGAGTAGATTCCGGGGTCACTGGGAAAGAAGTGCCTTACGGTGATTATGTCGTGTTGTAAGAAAGGCGAAACGACAGCGCAGGTGAGAAGGGCCCTAGACAGGTGCTGATACCCCAGGCTGGGCTGAGGGAGACCTTCTCAGTGACTTTCTCCCTCTCTCCTCTTCCCCACAGACAGGTGATTCTGCTGTCCCCCTACTGACGCCCGTCGTGGATCATCCTGCCGCACACAGCATCAACCCAGCTGCCATTGCTTCATCCTCAGCACCTGCTCATGGTGCCAGGGTGCCCAACCTGCCCAGCTGAATGATGCCACTCATACCTGCTGCAGCCTGGACGCTCTGGAAAGCCACTCTGCAACTCTCACCCCATAACACGATCTGTACAGCACCAAAACTCCAATATTGTTTTTTTTTTTAATTTTGGTATGATTAATATACACTTAAATGAGCAATACTGTGGGTACTAGATTCCCCCCATTATCAAGTCCCCCCCACATACCCTGTTACAGTCACTGTCCATCAGTGTAGTAAGATGCTATAGAGTCACTACTTGTCTTCTCTGTGATGTACTGCCTTCCCCATGCCCACCCCCTACATTATGTGTGCTGATCTTAATGCCCCTTTTTCCCCTTACCCCTCCTTTCCCACCCCTCCCCAGTCCCTTTCCCTTTGGTAACTGTTAGTTCAATCTTGGGTTCTGTGATTCTGCTGCGTTTTGTTCCTTCAGTTTTTCTTTGTTGTTATACTCCACAGATGACTGAAATAATTTGGTACTTGTCTTTCTCTGCCTGGCTTATTTCACTGAGCATAATACCCTCTAACTCCATCCATGTTGTTGCAAATGGTAGGATTTGTTACCTGCCACTTGAGGAGTATCAGACCCTTAGTTATCAACCCAGGTTGCTGTAGGACTTGGTGTAAGTCCCTTTTATTCATTTTATTTTATATTTTTATTAAGGTTTTATTGATATACACTGTTATGAAGGTTTCACATGAAAAACAGTGTGGTTACTACATTCACCCATATTATCAAGCCCCCCCATATTCCATTGCAGTCACTGTCTGTCAGTGTAGTAAGATGCCACAGAGTCACTATTTGCCTTCTCTGTGCTACACTGTCTTCCCTGTAATCCCCCCCACACCATATGTACCAATCATAATACCCCTCAGTCCCCTTCTCCTTCCCTCCCCACCCACCCTCCCCCACTCCTCCCCTTTGGTAACCACTAGTCCATTCTTGGAGCTGTGAGTCTGCTGCTGTTTTGTTCCTTCAGTTTTGCTTCGTTGTTATATTCCACAAATGAGGGAAATCATTTGGTATGTGTCCTTCTCTGCCTGGCTTATTTTACTGAGTATAATATCCTCCAGCTCCATCCATGTTGTTGCAAATGGTAGGATTTGTTTCTCATGGNGTATGGGCACCTGCCAAGGATGATGTCTAAGACATGAGGGCATGGCGCTCCTGAGCCCCCAGCTGACCCTGAGCAGGGCCCCCACACAGTCCGTGCATTGTCATCGCAAGGTGTTAGGACACTTATTATCTAGGGCACTACCCAGTTCTTCAAAACTTAGGGCAACAGGCCTGGGGGGAAAAGCAGGCCATTGAGGTCTCTTGGCCTCCCAAACCACTGTCCCTCCGCACTGAGCACCCCTCCCTGTGGGTGTGCGGCTCCCTTCAATTCCTGAGACTCTCCTGGCTGCTCAGGCAGGTGTCAGGCTTACCAGTTACTAGGGATTCATTCCTTCCGTTATTGCCTTTGACACCAAGAGGGAAACCAAATTGTTATAATTATCATCTTAGAATTTAATAATAACACTGACTAATTTTTATTGTGTTCCCCTTAGGGATCAGTTCATAGATCAGAACCATACATAGTTTCACTGTTTCAATCCTCCCAGTAACTGCAGCTGTAGATTTTAATGGTGTCCCAGGTTTACCAAGATGGCCCTGACACAGAGAGGCCAAGCAACTTTTCCCACATCACAAAGCCTGGAGGTGGCAGAGCTGAATTTGAACCTCACCCCTGGCTCCTCCCTTCTCACTGCCCTGCCCCCCTTTGGGGTCAGCACTCATTTCCTGATGGCTTTATCCCCAAACCAACAGAGGGTGGCCCTACTCAGACCCTGGGGCCAGGGATAGCTCTTGGCTCACGTGGGACTCATCTGCCTGAGCTTCCTCAGCCTCAGACCCTTTGCACGGACTGGGCCGGGACACCTGGAGGACATGTGGTCCCCAAAGTCCGAGCAGGGCTGCACTGGCCACATCCTGGCTCCAATGACTGAGCAGGCAGCATTTAGAAATTCTGGGCAGCCCCAGAAGCCTCTGCACATGGCTGATGAGACACACCTGAGGCATGCTTGTGTCCAGCAGGGCCACTGCCTGGCATCAGAGGTTCAGGTCTCCTGTGGAAGGTGGGCTCAGTGTTCTGACCAGTGGAGTCACAACCCGGAGACACCATGCAGGGACAGGGGCAGGGACAACAGGGCCAGATAGAGAGTTCAAGCAAGGGGAGGCAAGCGACCAGAGGGTGGACAAGAGCAAGCTTCTAGGATGGCCTTCGTGCCCAGCAAGGTGTGGGTGGGGACCCTGAGCAACTGTTTGAAATGTTCACCTTTCCAAGGGCCCAGCTCAGGCGAGTAGGGTAGCAGAGTGATGGGTTCTGGGCATGTACAGCTACCCAGGGTTTGGCCAGGCCCCTCAGGACCACCTCTGAAGTCGTCCCAGCAGTGCTGTGAGCCCCAAGTGACCACCTGTTTGTTCGCTGGTGGCACAGTGGGGGTCCCAGAGGTCAGGGAAGTGGACGAGGTCACCCCAACAGTACGTGGCAGCACGCAGGATTTCTTACATGAACTGAGCTCGTGCTGAGGAGAGCTGTGCCCTGTGCACGGGCTCCCCCCCTCTCCCCTGCCACAGCCCTGGAGACCCCAGGACTGTAGGATTCCAGCTGGACATCCGGACCCTCTCACAGGTGCTGGGGTTTTGGCTCCTGCTCTTTAAGCCTTCAGTGTTAGAGTCTAGGCCTCAAGGTAATGATGGGCTGAGAGGC